TATATCCGCGTATTACATAAATAAAAGTCAAATGAAATAGAATCATTGTTAATCTGTCTCTACGATCTTCTATACTTTAAACATCTTTTTAACGTATTTTTGAGGATGTCAACTTATATCTCTCTCTTTATGTACCTTTCTCTTTTACGATTATTAAGCAATTTTTTGAAAATATTTTTTAGTAAAATAAAATCAAATTTTAATATAAGTTAGTGGAAATGCTTTAAAAATACTATTCTTGCAGAAACTTAAACATCGTTTTACAGAATGTCCGAAAATTTATCGGCGGTACTGTAAACCCACGTTATCAAATATATTCGTTACCAGAGGCATTTCTTAAGAGGAGTCCTGCATGTGTAAAGTGATCTCGATTTCTGATCGAAGACAAGTTTGATGTATGTACAATTTTACTTATGGCACGGATGCGATAATAAAGATTTTCGACGTTGTACAATAATCTAACGTTACCCAAGTATAGTCTTAAGTAAAAAAAAAAAAAGAAACAAAATGCTACATTTACATATTACATTGTTGCAGTCATATACAGAGACCAGAGTTCAACGAGGAGAACGATCACGCCTGCAAAACGTTCGCGTTCACGCTTCTTGACGATACGCCGATTATCATATATTTATGTATATCGATATATATGATCGGCGATTCGTGCCTTAAATTATAAAGTATCCAGTATTAAAATCCCTTGTAAAAAGGATACGTCTAACATTAGATTTACAACTTGCAAGTTTTATCACAATCGCGATCGATTTCCAAGATTATTCAAAACCATCGAAGGAAAATCACTGGATTCGAAGAATCAAGCTCGCAGAGGAGGCAGACACCCGTAGAAATTAATTTCAAATTTGTTGTATACATTCGCTTTTAATTTTAGTCGTCAATAAATTATTATTAAACGCCGGTTGCTTTCCGTAGGATAAAACTTGAAATATCAAGATTAGGGTAAAGTTCCACTCTTCTACACGATGTGATGTGAAATGACGAATCTTTCTCTTTACAAAAAGATCAACTTCGACGCGATCGACGTTATCGACGGGGGACGGGGCGGGGGGGGGAAGGGGGGGAATGTCTTTGAAACACGCGAAACACACTTTTCCCTTCATCGCTATATATATATTTGGAATGAGGGAAGCGTTCGGACGCGAACGGAAGGCTAATCCATCCCGTCTTCGCCCAGCTCGTCCTCGTCTTGACCGTAATCGTCGTACTGGTCCTTCAGCTCGTCCTCCTTGTCCAGCGGACAGTGCGTGCATCTCGATTCGTTGATTCCGTAATTGATGCACGTGTCGCCTACGCACTCGCAACAACCGTCGTGGAACCACCTGTAGCTCGTGGCGCCCATACTCTGGCAGGACGCCCGACACTTGTTCCAGGAATTGCACTGCGCCATGAACGCGACCGTGCAGTTCACCGTCATCACGTTCGGCTTCAGCGGGTGCAGCTCCTCGTTCGCGGTTTCTGCCAAGCAAAACCAAAGCCAAGCCTCGTTAGCCCCCGCGGCGGTTTAATCAACATCATTCGCGCCTCGAGTGAGTTTAACCGCAGAATCCTCGACGCGTCCCAGGCTGAGGACGATGCTCGTTCCGTCGTAATAATTATTTATGCTACATCTATTCCGCGAAAGAGTCAGATTTTTTTTCCCTCCCCCCCCCTCTCCCCCATAATATATATTCGTATTCATTCTGATTCATTTTATTGAATGCGAGACACAATTGCGAAGCGGTGAGCAATTAATCCGTTCGCGCGCGCGTTCGCAGTTTCTCGATTCGGATTCCGAACGTGGGTGGGAGTCGCGCGCTTTCTCTCACGGTGGTGGCAATTTTGATACTTACGCATATGATATTTCATTTCGTTCTCGAGTTTCGGCGCAAATACCGCCATGTCAAAGTCTACCGGATACGTGAAGGTGAGCCATCTCTCGAGCGAGTCCGCTTCGGCTGTGAGTGCCTGGAAGAGCGCCGGCACCGGCTCGCTGAACTCCTCCACGTGAGATTTCTTGCTCAACGGGTTGTCGGTGATGTTCGGCTTCGGGCAGAGATCTGCGCACCCACGGAATTACGTCCATTACGTCATTTATATGTTCCGAAATTGTCGTCGTTTCCTGGTCTTGAAGGAAAGTAGGATAAGGACCGGATAAAGGCGGTTTTAAGTATCTGCTCGTTCTCTTCGCGTACGAAATATCATCCGATCGATTAAAAATCGTCAGTAATAATTCAGTGATTTATAAACATTGCAAATTTTGTTTATTTCAAGTAATTCTGATAATTGTCTTGATACAAAAGACAAATGATCGGAGAAGACTTTATTGTTTTGAAATTTATTCTAGTCCATCAGAAATTGAGAAATAGTTGTTCAACGTTGAATCCCGCAAGTATTCTAGCGGTGAATCATATAGTGATCTCTGACATTAATGTATATTAATGTCTCTGATATTTCATTAATTATCTAATAGATATTATTATTATTATTATTATATTGATTATATTGTTTAATTACAGACATTTAACATTATTAGTTTTATGGATTAGTTTTATTATGAGTTGCATTTCAATTCGTAATTTGGAAACTAAGCATAAATTAAAGCTTTCGCCGATCATTCATTTTTATCTCCGAATATAACTTATCAAGCTTCTCTCTTTCAAGCGTACAAAATATCTCCTTTTATTCTGAAATACTCTACATTAAATCAAGGATATCAATTAATATTAAAATAGAATCATTATGTAACAAGAAATAATTATTAAAATTCAATTCATTTAAAGCATATAAAGATTTTGCATAAAATTTTTACTATTTAAGCTTTGATCTCCCAATCATTTATAAATCTGACTTTCACTCGTGTTTTCGTGCGTGAATTGAACTTTCGACACACGGTGTCTTATACAACAATTGTCACAACGCTATTTCAGGATGGAAATCTATTAATAGCGCGAAAATATTG